CCACGCAGGTTTGTTAACAGTCTGCCGTGGTGGGTCTACACATCGTCATTTCAAGGGTCTACACAGCCTCATTTCAACTAACAACAGGTGAGGGGAGGGACACAGGGAGTTTGGGATTGACATGTACACACTGCTATATTTAAAATAGATAAACAATGGAGGACCTACTGTATAAGCCAGGGAACTGTGCCTTATAACGTAAGTTCCTATTCTACGTAACTGTTAGACTGTTACGTAACAATCTAAATGGGAAAATAATTTGAAAAAAAGAATAGATACATGTATGTGTATAACTGAATCATTTTGCTGTACTCCTGAAGCTAACGACACGTTGTTAATCAACTGTACTCCAGGGACTTCCCTGGTGGCACAGTGGATGAGAATCCACTGCTGAGGCAGGGGGTACAGGTTCGATCCCTGGTCCAGGAAGATTCCACCTACCGAGGAGCAACTAAGCCCAGACACCACACAACTGAGCCCGAGCTATGGGGCCTGGGAGCCACAACTGCCGAGCCTGTGTGTCACAACGACTGAAGCCCGAGAACCTAGAGTCTGTGGCTGCAAGAGCGGCCACTGCAATGAGAAGCCTGCGCTTGGCAACCAAGACTGGCCCTGCTCAGTGCCACCGGGGAAAGCCGGCGCAAAGCAATGAAGACCCACAGCAGCCAAAAATAAATAAATAAAATAAAAATGACCCTCTAATATAAGTCAGAAAAAACTAACAACAGGGCCTGTTACCCCATTACCAGATAGGGGTAGGAGGGAGTAGAGCTGACTGATACCAGGTTGTTGGCATGATTGAGCTGAAAAGCAAACCTCTTATCAAGAAGTTCACACACTAGTGGGCAAGAGAATTCTGGAAACAATGATATTAATTTGATAATGAAAAGCTGACCGTTAGTCGAGCAGACACTGTGCTAAGTGGCCTGTTCCATAACATTGAGAGGTAAGAACCATACCCCTTTTATTTTTCAAAAATTTTTGGCCACGCTGGGCAGCTTGCGAGGTCTTAGTTCCCTGACCACAGATCGAACCCATGCCCCTTGCAGTGGAAGCATGGAGTCTTAACCACTGGACCTCCCAGGAAGTCCCAGAACTGTACCCATTTTATTAATTTTTTTTAAATTTGGCGGCACTGTGTCTTCATTGCTGCATATGGGATCTAGGTCCCCAACCAGGGATCGAACCTGGGCCCCCTGCAATAGGAGCTCAGAGTCTTAGCCACTGGACCACTAAAGAAGCCCCATATGCCCTTTAAAAAGAGGAAACTAAGGTTCTGAGAGGTTAGGAGCTTGCCTGGGGTCACACAGGCAGTGAGTAGAGGGGCCAGGAAAGGAACCCGAGAGACGTGACTCCAGGACCTGCACTCCTGGCCCCTGCAGCCGAGCGATAGGCGCCGTCAGGGGAGGCCCTCAGACCTGTCAAGGATGCTACATCCAGAGGTGTGGGGAGGCACTGGATCCCAAGGGCGGGAGAGGCCAATGGTCTCATGGTGGACCAGACCCTCTGGTGTAGGACCTTGCCAGGAGGCAGAGGAAGTGGAGCTGTGGGAGACACAAGCAGGGCCAGACTGTCAAGCTTTCGCACTTTATCCAGGACCCCGGCAGAGCCATGAGCCTTTGGATCTGTTGGTTGTGAGTCTTGCCCAGGAGAATGCTCACGTAGGGACAGGCCAGGCTATAGAAACTGGAAAGCTGAGAACTGGGGTGGAACCAACAGGAAGCCACTGCGGTGGTGCAGGTGGGCAGGAGAGCCTGAACTGGGCAGGGCCAGGAACTCCTTGGTCAGAAACCACCCAGTGAAGCCAGGTTCAGGTCTCACAGAGCATCTGATGCAAACCAGCCCTGGGGAGTTTGCTGGGCTGATCCTCTTGGGTCTCTCAGGATTCTGCTGCTTCTGAACCAGGCAGACCCCATGGTTCACAGGGCAGCCCAGACCACTGGCCAGCAACCAATTTCGCTCTCTAGTCTGTTTCCCCTTCTGTAATACGAATGGATTTAATTAGATTGCACTTTAGGTAACTTCCTGTTCTGACATTCTGTGAATTCTTTTTACATTAGATTCCTATGGTGTCAGGCACATGAAACCTCGGACACATTTGTAAGTTCTGTTCAAAGGCACTGACTTGCTCTTCTTTGGGACCTGTGGGCAGTGACCTTCCATAAACTAAACAGGGCTTCCCTGGTAGTTCAGCTTTAAAGAATCTGCCTACAATGCAGGAAACCTGGATTCAAACCCTGGGTCAGGAAGATTCTCTGGAGAAGGGGATGGCAGGCCACCCCAGCATTCTTGCCTGGAGAATTCCATGGACAGAAGAGCCTGGCAGGATACATACAGTCCATGGGGTCGCAAAGAGTCAGACACGACTGAGCAACTAACACACACACTGAAAAGGTGAGTTTGCCACTGTGATGGTTTGGTTTGTGTGTTAACTTGGCTGAGCCACTGTGCCCAGATAATTGGCCAAACATTATTCTGGATGTTTCTATAAAGGTGTTTTGGGGATGAGATTAACATTTAAATTTGTGGACTTAAAATCAAAGTAAAGTAGATTCCCCTGCATAATGTGGGGGTGGGCCTCATCCAAACAGTTGAAGGTCTTATTAGACAAAAGACTGACTCCCATGCCTCCTCCCAGCAAGAAGGAATTCTGTCAGCAGACTGCCTTTGCACTGGATCTGCAACTCTTCCCTGGGTCTCGAGCCAGCCAGCCTACCCTACAGATTTTGGATTTACCAAACCTCCATAATCCTGTGAGCCAATTCTTAAAATAAATCAATCCTCTCCTTCTCTTTCTCTCTCTCTCTCTCACACACATAGCTGGTTCTGCTCTCTGGAGAACACTAACTAATACCTGCACTATTTATCAAAATTGCAAATGTTGGTTATAACCCATCCACATATCAGAATATGCTGTAGTCACAGAAAACGATGCAGTCTATTTATGTACTGACATGGAAAGATCTCCAAGATATATTAAGAATAATGTGTACAGTGTGCAAACAACAAAAATATTAAAATTCCTATTGCTTACATGTGTGTGGAGGGGAAACTCTGGAAGGATAGCTAAGAAACTGACAGCAGGGTTACCTGTTGGAGGAGGGCAGTGGGGTAACTGAGTAATGGGAAACCAGGCAGAGGGGCTTTTTGCTTTATTCTTTCTACCTTCTTTGATAAATGCACGTGTTCATTGACCTAGCAATTCCATATCCATACATTGGTGGCTCAGCTGGTAAAGAATCCACCTGCAATGTGGGAGACCTGGGTTGAATCACTGGGTTGGGAAGATTCCCTGGAGAAGGGAACAGTTACTCACTCCAGTGTTCTGACCTGGAGAATTCCATGGACTGTATAGTCCATGGGGTCACAAAGAGTCAGAAGAGACTGAGCAACTTTCACTTTCACTTTCATGTTTACCTTATAAATACACTTCACCTCATGCAAAATGGTATTTTATGTATTAGAAAAAAACACCCAGGGGATTTCCTTGGTGGTCCACTGGCTAAGAATCCACAATCCCAATGCAGGAGACCCAGATTTGACCCCCAGTTTCAGGGAACTATTAATAGATCCCACATGCCGCAAAAGATCCCGAGTGCCACAACTAAGACCTGGTGCGGCCAAATAAGAAAAACAAAAATAAATATTTTTAAAAAATTCAGTTGTAGCATCGTTCATAAGAGAAGAATGGAAAGCACCTAAATACCCCATCAGCAGGAAAGCGGTTAAATAAATCATCCATTTGTTACAAAGAAGGAGGCTGCTCTCTTTGTTCTGATGTGATTTCCAAATGAAGTGGGAAAGAGCAAGATGCAGGATGCTGTGTATATAGGATGCTACCATTTGTGTAGGAAGAAAAGTCAAACTCTGTGCCTACATATTTGCAAATGCATGATCACAGAATAAACTAAAGACAGGGCTTCCCTACAGGGACGGAAACTAGGTAAGTGGGGAGTGGGCAGGAGAAGGAATTACTTTACACTGTATTTTTCGAATCATGGGTATGTATTATCCATTCAGAACTTTAAAAAATTTCTGAGGCGGAAGGGAGAGGTAGGAGGAAGAGAATCACATGCCAGGTTGGTACTAAAGTTATCTGAACACAAAATATTCATCTACTCCACTTTTCCTTTTTTGACCTGAGTTTCCCCTGAACTGCTCTTACAAACACCCACTTGGGACTACAGTGAATTTCATGGAAGACCCAGGGCCCTCACTAAAACCAGGAAGATAACTTCTGAAGATGAGAGCACTAGTTCTCTGCAAGGCAAATGACTCTTTAATCCATGCACAGAGACAACCGGATGCAGACCTGTTCTTCAGAACCTTTTTTATTCTTCATCTAACCACCACAGAAGGTCAGCTTGAACCAAAACAAGCTGAAATAACCTCAAAAGGCCCGCCTCATTACACACAATGGGGCAAAACCTGAAGTGAAGCCTGTTTTTTTTCAGAGCAGACCCAGCCCATACTCTTACACAGGTGTCCACTAAAGACGGATCAGCAAGGCCCCACCACCACAAACTCCTGTAGGAACTCTGCTGGGACCTCCCTTTGGGTCATTCATGAAATTCTCCTCTTCCTTAGTCATAAACAAGACCTTGCTGTCTTGCGGGGAAGGTCATCAGTGTTGGTATCTTGAGCAACAGACTATTTGTGTACTCTGGAGCTTTAAAGGGGAGATGATTTGGCTTACTTCCTCCCCTGCATCGGAGATGCAATCACCTTTCTGACTATCTAAACAGTGACCTGGGAGATAGGCAGTGGAGGGTGCCTCACGAAGACTCTTCAGGGTCATCCTGTCCGGCTCCTTAAGTACTTAATCCTTTGTTTTTCAGAAACCTTTGCACCTGGGCTCCCAAGAGGCAGGCAGGCCCATAGGAGAGGCCACAGGCCTGGGGGCCAAGCAGCCTCTCAGAGCGGGTCACCGGGAAAGAGGAGGAGGGGGCAGGGAGAGGGCAGGGAGGGGGCAAGGTGGAGATGCAAAGCGGGGACAGAAATCAGCTGAAACACTCCATGCTGGTTCTGACTCGCTCCATCTCGTGCAGGAAGCTGTAGAACTGGGGCAAGGTTAGTTCTGGGGAGAGAAAACGCGGCTTCAGGTAAATGCTTCCAACTCCACAGAATCATCCAAGAAAACGAATTTCCACCCAGCGACTTCCTTTTATTTTTTGACTTAATACCTTTAAGCAGTTCTGGATGGGCAATTGATCATAATAAAGAACTGAAGCCTTGAACACAGAAAGTTCTCAGCTCCATTAAAGAAAAAAAAAGTGGAGGAGGGGATTTAAAATGGCATTAACTCCCCAGCACAAAGGGATGAAAGAGTGCCATTCAGGACAGTTCTCATAGGCCCAGAGCTTCTTGCTCCTAGAAATTCACCATTCCTATCCCAAGCTTCCCTGATAGCTCAGTTGGAAAAGAATCCGCCTGCAATGCAGCCCTTGTTTGATTCCTGCTGGAGAAGGGATAGGCCACCCACTCCAGTATTCTTGGGCTTCCCTTGTGGCTCAGATGGTAAAGAATTCTCCTGCAATGTGGGAGACCTGGGTTCGATCCCTGGGTTGGGAAGATCCCCTGGAGAAGGGAAAGGCTACCCACTCCAGTATTCTGGACTGGAGAATTCCATGGACTGTATAGTCCATGGGGTCTCAAAGAGTGAGACACAACTGAGCGACTTTTGCTCACATTCCTACCCCACCCTTTCCCGTTAGCAAAAAGTTCATTGACTGTGGGGTCTCCAACTTGCTAATGGCTTATCATTTAGGAGAGCAAAGTTGGCAGAATAGAGATTCCACAGTCCGATTATAACGTTTTTTATGGAAAAATGATTAGTGGTGGGCTTCAGGAGCCTAAGGAGAAGGAAACCCACTCCAGTATCCTTGCCTGGAAAATCTCATGGACACAGGAGCCTGGTGGGCTGCAGTCCACGGGGTTGCAATGAGTCGGGCACGACTGAGCAACTAACACACACTCAGGAGCCTAATGACTGAAGAAAATGGAAAAAGTGGAAAGACTCAAATGGGAATTTGGACTCACCTATGTATACATTTTCAGTTTGATTTCCTTTCTTAATCACCAACTTTAACTGAGCCAAAAAAGGAAAAAAAGAAATAAAATATTTAAATTAAAATGATGACAACTGGGCAAAGAAATGAACTTTCATGGAAACATTAAAGCATCCAGTGTCTTAAGAGTTACTCGAGAGCAGTCTAGATTGTTCAACACCAAAACTTCTAACAATTCCCATGATGACAGGAACAATCAAAACTTTCAAGAACAATATCCAGATCCTATTCATCTGAAAGAAAGCGTGTCAGTAATCACATCTTTGGCTGACTACATTGCTCTGAAATACACAAGGCACTTCAGTGGAACATCCGTTTAATTGGATATTAAAGAAACCCAAGGTAGGTTTGTTGGGTTAGATGGTAAAGCATCTGCCTGCAATGCAGGAGAACCAGGTTCAATCCCCAGGTGGGGAAGATCCCCTGGAGAAGGGAATGGCAACCCACTCCAGTATTCTTGCCTGGGAAATCCCAAGGATAAAGGAGCCTGGCGGGCTACAGTCCATGGGGTCAAAAAGAGTTGGACACGACTGAGTGAGTAATTGCATTAGAATATTGTAGAATGTAGATTTAATACTTTATAACCAAGTCAAAAATCTCCCAATTTTCAGAGATCAGAAAAAGACTTACTTGTAAAAAAATACTTCCTACTTTTTCCAGTTCGCTGCTCCCAGACGTCACTGTGACACAAAAGAGAAAAACAGTAAGTGGCTGGTTGAGGACCAGCTCTGAAGAGCCCAATCTTGCAAGCTGTGAAGTAGGAGACATGTCCCCACATGAAGCGGGGGGACATGTCCCCAGGATGAAGACAGCAGAATGTGCTTTTCAGGAAGTGGACCTACGGACAGCTGTGGGTAGAAAGAGCTGCTGAATGTGGACAGTGACACAGGGAAGCAGCTGCTGGACCCAACAATCTTAGGGGACCAAGGATCCCGCTTCCCCAGTGAAGTCCTCTGAGAGCCTCTGCCACCCAACCCCGCATCACCCAAATGACCCAGGACTGGCTCTAGCTGGTTACCTCCAAATTTCCATTCCATATCTACAAGCTGGTTAATCATCAGAGTCTGACCTATGGCCCATCGAGCGAGGGTGGGGGCATTCTGCTTCCACTGAAACAAAAGCAGACAGCCAAAGTCATCACAATGGGAAAAAAAACCCTCTTCATTCTGCCCCCAACGCAGCGTGTTTAGTCTTTACACAGACAGTGGGCAGAGTGTAGAGGCATGGGCTCGGCCTGTGTGCACAGATCCAGGTCGAGAAGGGCAGCAGGAATCTTCTTTTATTCCAAGATTTAATCCAGGTTGGAACAAAAACTGTATATTTATATTTAGTCAAATCAGAGGGAAAATATTAGATGCACAGAATAGTTTTTCATGCATGTATATCCTCTGCATGAAACCAAGTGAAAAACTTGAAGCTGGTAAATGACATATGATGATGGATGGTTTTTCCTTGGTCGGTGTTTTCCATTTGTATGTTTTCAGGAAATAAAAGCAAACAATCTTAATTCACTTTGATTAAGGGGGATCCTGATACCTTTTCAGAGAAGTAGATGGCTTTCTCCTCACTGAGACCTGGAAGAGAACAGAGGGAGACATGACCAAAGGGAAGGGCTGCATGGCCTGTCACCTGAGCAATCTGGGGTGGTCACCTACCCAGAGTCATGAAGTCGGCCCGGACCTGCTCGGCTGTGAGACCCTTCTTCAAGGCACCTGGGAGATGACAAAAATCAGTCAGAGAGGGCAAATCAATCAGTCTGCTGGCAGGAAGTATTTAATGGACACATCTTAAATGACAGGGACGACAAAGGGAACACACAGACTCAGCTCACTCTGGCGTGATCTTGGTCCAGCCAGGCAGGAAGGAGACGAGGGGGAACAAGGCAGCACGTTTTAGGGTGCGTTTTTGGCAGATTCCTGAGTAGCTCAAAACGGCAAAGAATCTGCCTGCAATGTGGGAGATCTGGGTTCAATCCCTGGGTCGGGAAGATCCCTGGAGAAGGGCATGGCAACCCACTCCAGTATTCTTGCCTGGAGAATTCCATGGACAGAGGAGCCTGGCATGCTACAGTCGCAAAGAGTCAGACATGACTCAGCAACTTCCACTTCACTTTAGGTACCATACAAGCATTGGCCCCTCCAGAAAGTACAGATGAAGTTACAGACAAAACCAAAGACTGTCTGGACTTGGGGAGGGGGTGACTCATCTGAGGAAATAAGGCCAGAGACTCCTGGAGCCAAGTGGGGGAGTTCAAGGTCAGGTGGGCACAGGGCTAACAGCCCGAAGCTGGCACTGTGCCATCTGCAACCACCAAATGCACGTGGCTCTTTCATGTTTTCTTTTTTGGCCTTGCCACATGGCTTGTGGGATTTTAGTTCCCTGACCAGGGATGGAACCCAGGCCCTTGTTAGTGAAAGTGCCAAGTCCTAACCACTGGATTGCTAGGGAATTCCCCTCTTTAACTGTTAACGAATTAAAATGAAAGGAAATGGAGTGTTCTGTTGCTCAGCTACACCAGCTGTTCCAAGTGCTCAGGAGCCACGTAGGCCCAGTGGTCACAGCACCGGTTAGGGCGGATTACAGAGCATTCTTGTCTTCATATGGGACAGCCTGCCCCAGAAGGTCAGCCCTCAGGAAGCAAACCCAGATGGACAAAGCAGTTCAGCCTCTATAGCTGCCAAGTCACTTGCAGAGGGGCTGTCAAGCCCCTCCCCTCAGGAGCCCTGGGAAACCCCACCCTCCTACTCCTGCCCTGCACCCACCGCCTTTGTTCTGCTCGTAGGCTCCCATTTCTGAAAATAAAGTGCTCCCAGCAATCTGGGCTTCTCAACCTTTAACCTGCAGGCTACAGCCTCCAGTCATGATCTGGCAACAGCTTTAAAATTTTCCACTTCTTAGTCCTCCAGAAGATGACTAATCAAAGAATAAGAACTTGTCTACCACGGGCCAGGGAGGGCCCTGACGTAACACCCTAAACCCGAGCCCCTACCCCCATCCCACTCCAGAAAAACAATCCTAAAGGCTGTTGTCCCCTGCAAAATCAACGGTGTCAACAAAGGGAGGAAACCTTTTATCTCCAAAATCAGACTGAGCAAGGAAGCCACAGGGAAATAAAAAGAAGGCGAGACCCCAGGAAACCTTGGCCATAAAAGCTCTCCAACAAGGCTGTTACATCCAGTTGCTCCAATCAACTCTTGGCATGCCACTCCTTAGTTTATACCCAGTTCAAATCCAACATTCTGTCTGATGATCCCCAAATACTCCAAGGTGGAGAATACCATTGTAACTTTTAACTTATCAGGAAATTAAAGATGAGAAAGGTTAAGCTTTGCGGGGAGAGGATTTGGCAAATCCAGAGTTGACAACTGCACTGCTAAGAGCTCACCTATAGCTCTGCCCCCCACCCCCTACCCCGGCCCCAATACACTGAGATCTGCGAGGGAAGCTCTTTAGCAGTGTGGGCAGGAGAGACGAAAACTCAGGAAGAGTACACTGATTTTGGTGTGTCCAAACAAGTAGCCTGGGCGCCAAGGTCCTTTTGTTAAAACTTAAGTCAGACTGTGTCTCCTCTCTGCTCAAAACCCTCAAATGGCTCCTGTTCCGCTCATTGTAAAACCCGAAGTTCTCACGATGCCCTGTGGATCTGTCCTTCTGTAGAACCCTCTGCTCTCTCCCTCGCTTACTCAGTTTTTCCCATTATTTACTAGGCAGGTTCCTACCTCTATGCATTCACCCTTGCAGTTCCTCCTGCAAGAAACACGCTTCCTCAAATCTGCACATGCTCACTACTCACTTTCCTCAGGAATCTGCTTGAATTGCACCTCCTCTGAAAGGGTCCCTGACCAATTTTCAAGTATCCTTTTCTGCATGGCATTTATAACTACCCAACTTCATGCTACATATTTATTGTCAATTTTCTCACAAAAGTCAGTTTGTTGAGAACAAGGACTTGGTCCGTTTTGCCCACTGCTGCGTCCCCAGTTACTAAAAAAAGGTGCCAGGCACTGTTCATTGGTTGGCCCTCAACTCATTAAACACATGTTGAATGAAAGAATCCGTACAACGGAATGCTATACAAGGTAGCTCCTGACCTGCCTATTTGCAAAATGTAATTAAAAGAAAAGAAAAGCTAAGAACAGTCTGCTTAGTGTGGTCCCTCCTGCATAAACAAAGAAGGGTATATTATCTATTCTTACTTATAACTTTAATTATATGCTTATCTTATGGCTAAATTGAGAGCTGTAAGGTACATTTTTGGTGAAAATATCCACAAAACAGAGGATACCTTTGAGGAAAGGGACTGAGTGGGACTTTTTTTCCTTGGTGTCATTTAAAAACATCCTAGCTGCATGTTATTTCTTATTTAATAGGAAGGCAGTAAAAGTGTGAGTCATTTTTGTTTTCTTTCCTGTGCTTCTCTATAATAAAAAAAAAAAAGCCCTGCCCCCCCGCCCCAAGAAGAAAGGTTAAATATATTGCCCAGAGCCACGCAGCAGGCAAGTAGCAGAGAAAGAGTAGCTTATGGGGCAGCTGACCCCCAAATTCAGGCTCTTTCCACTCCAGGTCATTCTGAGATGCTGTCGGGGAGTAAGACCAGGCCACAACCAGCCAGTGACTGACACCTGAGGCTACTGAGCTTCAGGGACCAAAGCAAGTTCTCTGTCCCGGTGGCACCTCCCTACCTGAGAGAGGCAGGAGATATACTCTAGAAACATACATAGAGGGATTTCCTGGGTGGTCCAGTGACTAAGACTCACACTCCCAATGCAACGACCCTGGATTCAAACCTTGGTCAGTGAACTAGATCCAATGTCTTAACCAAGAGTTTGCATGCTGCAACTTACAACCCAGGGCAGCCAAATAGACGAATAAATGTTTAAAAAAAAAACACATGATCTTAAAAAAAAAGAAATACACATATTTGCATCATGTTAGGCCTCAAGCCCTTGGCTTCTTTTTCAGCTTTTTCCTTTGGTGATTTCCCTGTCCTGTAAGCACAAGACAGGGCTGCAGCCTTGACCCCATGTCAGTCCGAAAAATCTGAACTCCAGGGCTGTAGTCACTAGAACATGTCACTAGGGTAAATCTGAGAATGTCCTTTAAATACAGATAACCATCTGGGATGGTTTATAAGTCCTTGAGCTCCACTTTTCACTGGAACAGTTGCCTTAGGCAAACCCCCACTGCCATCTAATAGTGTGGGTGACAAAGCAGAGGGTTTCAGGAAATGGCTGGAAAGTTAGCAAACACTATTCTTCTAGCCAAAACCTACATAAGCTTATTCAGAGTAGTAAGGGAAGTCCAAGGAACAGAACCAAGCCTTGGTGAATCAGATGGGAGAGCACGTGAGTCCCATTCCTTCAGTAATTACTGACCCTGAAGGCTCACCAGCTGAATCCACCCCTGCAAGGTTCACGTGCAAACACAGGTCACAGTCACTGTATACAGATGTTCTGAGACTGCCGTGTGCCAGCACTGAGCTGGATGTTGGAATGCATGAAAAACTGAACTCTATCCTCCTGAGGCTCACAATCTCTCGGGATATAACAATATAACACATATAATACATTGTAACAATGATGTAACAAGTAGGTAAGTCATACAGTGAAAGTGTTAGTCGCTCAGTCATGTCAGACTCTTCCCGATCCCCTGGATTACAGCCCACTGGGCTCCTCTGTCCATGGGATTCTCCAGGCAAGAATACTGGAGTGGGCTGCCATGCCCTTCTCCAGGGATTCTTCCCAACCGAGGGATCGAGCCCAGACCTCCTGCATTGCAGTGGATTCTGTATACAGTATTATTCCATGTAGAGTATTACTGAGAAGTGCCACATAGAAAATAGAGCAGGGTAAGGTTGGGAACCCCCAGGGAACTTAGTCCAGCATTTGATTAAATACCATTTGTGACTATTGTTCAATGCTGATTGTTCCTTTTTTGGCCCAGCCAGATAGATTCCTTTGGGAGTGGGGAAAGGGAGTTATCACTTTTTCTTTAAAAAACAAAAACAAAAACCACCAACCCGTGGAGATTTCCCTAGTAGTCCAGTGGTTAAAAATCCTCCTGCAATCCAGGGGACATGGGTTTGATCCCTGGTCTGGGAAGATTCCACATGCTGAGGAGCAAGTAAGCTTGCACGCCACAAGAGAATCCCTTCGCATGACGAAACTAAGACCTGGCGCGGCCAAATAAATAAATGAATAAATAACAACCAGTCACTGGGCACCCACAAGGGCCAGATATTAAAGTAGAAACCAGCTTAAATTATGGCCCTACAGCAAAGTTATCTGTAATCTTTTCTAGGTGACAACTCACAATGATAATGACAATCAGTACTAACAGCAGTGTAGCTACTACCACTTACTATTGAAGCAAGCACTTTACATTTATTATCCTTCTCTGTTTTTTTAAAAGAAATTCTTTAAAAATTATTATTATTTTTTTTTGGCTGTGTTGCATGGCTTGTGGGATCTTAGTTCCCTGACCACAGACTGAACGGGACCCCTGCCCTGAAAGTGACAAGTTTAACCACTGGATCACCATCTTTCTCCACTCTTGAAACAATGTATGAGCTACTAATATTAGCTCTATTTTATTCCTGAACAAACTGATTCTCAGAGTGGTTACATGACTTGGCTCAAGGTCTCAGAGCCGTGAAGCAAGCATACAAGGGTCCTGTAGGAACCAAATGCAAGGTGGGGGCCTTATCTGGATC